ACAGGAACAGCCGAAGTGCATTTGTTTACGTACAGAAACAGCCGAAGTGCATTTGTTTACGTACAGAAACAGCCGAAGTGCATTTGTTTACGTACAGAAACAGCCGAAGTGCATTTGTTTACGTACAGAAACAGCCGAAGTGCATTTGTTTACCTACAGAAACAGCCAAAGTGCATTTGTTTACCTACAGAAACAGCTAAAATGCATCTGAGTCTAGAATCTTCGGGTCTACAGAGGACTTCATTTTTGACTCAGTGAGAGCAAAGAGCCCAAACCATCAGTCTCCACCTCCGTGCTTCACAGCTACTGTGAGGTGTTTGTGCTGACTTCCTGTGTTATGTGCTGCAGTGCATTGTGGGTAAATATCTCCCGGTTCTAAACCTCTTCTCATTTCTTCAGAGGAAACTTTACAAACCAAACTCGTGTTGCCAGGTTGCTTTTAGAAAAGGAGGTTTTCTCTCAACAAGCCATGACCTTTGACCTGATAACTGAGACCTGCATGGTCTGACCTTCAGGGTGAATTCACTGGGACATCAGCTTGTAAAGAAGCTTTCTCTCAGCAGAACGACTGCTGATAATTTTTTGAAACGACCTTTGACCTTTTCTAGATTGAGTGACAGCAGCTTCTCTGTGGTCTTTCTGCCCTAATGTTGTGACACACACACACACACACACACACACACACACACACACACGTTTTGTTTCTAATTTCTCTGGTTGCAGTAAAAGAGGTTTTCTGTTTCCTTTGTTTAAAGAAATAAAAACTGTAAATAACGTCATGTTTTCATTCATCAGAGGTTATATTTACCCATTTTTAAGACCTTGGTGAGAACCAGTTAATTTTTATGATGTCTTGAAACATTAAGCCTTAAAACATCGTGACCGCATTCTGCTGTGGATTCATGAGAAATTTATTTCCCTTAAATTATCCGAGTGCATCTATCCGCATTTATGGAGATATTTCAGGTGAACAACCTTGAATTTATCCACTAGAAACGAGTGCACCAGATACTTCATAATTTAAAAACAGAAAGAAAAAACAGCTTTAGTAGAGCTCGATTCTGTAGCAAAACGTTTAATTTGACCAAATCAGAATAATCTGCTGATTAGTTTATTTGATCAGTGACCAGTTGTTCAAACTAAACAACGATATCATCTCCTGACAGATAAACTGAGGAATAAAAGAGGTTGTGTGTTTTCGGCTGTTTCTGATGAGTAATAAAAGTCTGTATCAAACAATCAGATTGGCAGCTGCCTCTGAGGAAACGTTTTGTGCTGATTGTGTCAGAGCTGCAATCAGGGATTATTGTGACTCATAAATTTACTAGTTTTTTTGGACCTGAGCGTCGTTGGACCAGACTGCAGCTTTTCACTCTCTGTAGACGGTCTCAGCTCTGACGGGAAGAACCGTGGCGTTATTTCCAGAGGTACAGTGTTCATTACATTAAGACTGGGGTCTGCAACCTGCGGCTCTGGGGCCACATGTGGCTCTTTGGTCCCTCTGCAGTGGCTCTTTGAAAATATGACCAAACATAACAGAACTTTTTGTTTGTTTGTTTTTATACACACAACAGAAATAAATTTGTATGCAAATATGTGATCAATACTACTAATACAAAAAGTAAAACTGTTGTTACTTAAATAATCCAAGTTCTTTCTCTCAAATCCATCAGAGTTACCTTTAAAGAATTTGAAGGTTACATATTAATAATAATTAAAAACAAAATATGCCTGAAAAGTTCAGTTGTACTAGTTTTTATGAAATTAAGTATGAACTTTATACAGTATTTTTCTCCTTTACATGAATCTGGTCTTAATTTGTCCTGAAGTGTAAAAACAATAATAAATAATAAAATTCTCAATGTATTTATTATTTTTATTATGTCACCTCCATTGGCCGTAAAGGTTCACAAAAAGGCCTCAAAAAGGCCCACGGACCACCAGTTGATTATCAAAGTTGAAGCTTGTTTTGCAGCTCTGGACACATTTTATTAGTGAGTCAAGGAGCAGAAATGACTCTTTTGATAGTAAAGGCTGCAGACCCCTGCATTAAGTAATCTTTTAAAAATGATAAAGTGATACTTTAATTTCTTTATTTTAAAGTTTAACACTTCGTTAGGCTTTACAAATTTAAATATGACTAAACTCATAATGAACGAGTTGTTTGTGCTCTCTAATAAAAACACAAAGCAGGGTTAAATACAACTTTCCCAGTAATTCTGAGCAGTTTTATGACTTTTACTTTTCTTATTGGTGAAATTAATTTTTACCAAAGTCGTAACTGTTGAGGTATTTTAGTTATTATTTTAAAGTACTTTATACACGCCTGGTTATTTCTTTTAAACTCCTACATTACTGGACCACTTCCTGTTTGTCTGCATCTACTTCCTGTCCTCTTTAACCCCAGCTGGTTGTGCTGGAGGTGTCTTCTCTCCACTGTTGCCTCTGGGTTCTGATTTAAACTGGACTGCTTTTAAAACAACTATGAATGAACAGGTGGTGTTTCTTACCTGTGCAGCTGGATCTTAAGCGTGACCACGTGGTAGACGTCCTGCAGCATGTCGGCCACCGTGGCGTCCGGCGCGTCTGTCACGTAGGACAGGGGGACGGGGTTCCACTTGCCCACCTGAATCATACCTGCGGCGGGAGTAAAACACCGTTAGAAAGAAAGAAATAACAGATGTGGACTCGCCGGAGAGCGAGCCTGAGCCTCTGAGGTTTTCTGTCGTTGCTTAATTTAAAACGGTAACACATAGGAAGTGCGAACAGCACCATGTGTAGGCACCCAAGAAGCATCTTGGTGCCATAATCACCCTCCGCTCCGCTTTAGTTATTAGTGAAATCACAACAACCGTGTGAGAATTCCTCCTGACACCGTCTTAAAACCAGCAGCAGCCCACACAGCAGGACGGGAGGAGGACTGCTTATGGTCGAGGTGGATTACTGTGTGTGTGTGTGTGTGTGTGTGTGTGTGTGTGTGTGTGTGTGTGTGTGTGTGTGTGTGTGTGTGTGTGTGT